GCGATCTGTGCTCGCTGTCTGCTATGGTTGAATGCTGCTGGGAATCAGTAAACAAGGACAGGATTGCTCAGAGAGATCCTGGTGCTGTGTGCCCAAGCCAGGTTGTGTAAGGAAAGTGAGCCCCAGGAGGTCCCAAGTGGGGAGAAGAGGCTTGGGAACCAGAGATTTTTGAAAGTGGAGGAAGGAAGAAGTGGTGAGAGCCTGGGTTGCCAGACTTGCAATCATGGAGAAGGATGGCCAGGATCCAACTGAGTGCAGGGTGCTGTCAGGAGGCCAGCTGGGAATGAAGAAGGAGGTCACAGAGGTGAGAGGTGAACACTTGGGTGTGAAAGCCAACAGTCTGGAGCCAAGAATAATTTGCTGAGCCAACGTTATGCTTGGGATTCAAAATGCCCCCCACACCCGAGACTCCCTTGCTGCATGGAAGGTGAGGTTGGTGGTTGATGGGCTGTGGATCATCAGTTGGTTGGTCACTTTGGAAATGATTGGATCATGGGAGTGCTGACTTCATCAAGTGGCTTGAGCCACTGATGTGATCACCAGCTGCAGGAGCTCATGCAAAGGTGGGGCTTAACTGTATGAAGCAGCTCCCCAGGGACAAGTCTTTAGAGGGTGTCCTTTGTTCCTGACCCCTTCCTCTCCAGAGGAAGGTCTCGCTCAGCTTCGTGGCTGCCAAGAGGTGAGCTGCTCTATTCTGCCAGGCCTACCATGGCTCCAACTGACCATGGACTGGAACGTACAAAACTGTGAGCCAAAGTAAATATTTCCTCTCTAAGTTGCTATTTTCTTTGTTTTGTCATGGTTTCAGAAAGCTCATGAACACAGCCAGGTACCAAGTCCCAAAGAGGCCTGCCTGTGACACGGGGCTCAGAAAGGATAAGGGGAAGAGCAGGGGAGGAGCTCCCCACCAGAGGTGGCTTTTGGCTGGGAGCTGGTGGGCCATAGTGTCTGGGGAAAGCCAGCTTTAGGACCTCAGATTCCTGTTGACACTCCCTTTCAGGCAAACACCTCTCCTGCCAAACCCTAGGTTCAGTGCCCAGAGAAGGGAGAGGAGGTTGGGGAGAGCTGCCTCCTGCCTTTCTGTCAGGCCCCCACAAAGTAGGGAAGGGCATCTTCCCTGGCCCCCAGCAGGCAGAGATAGGGCAGCCATCCCTGAAGTCACAGCACAGCTCCAGCCAGAGCCTGAGTCTGTTTTTATCCCTGCTTTATGAGATGGGAATAAGTAATGAGAAACAGAGAGGAGCAGGGAGCAGAAGTGGGGGGAGAAAGTCTCTTGCCCTGGGTCCCCACCTGTAAGCTAGAGCTGACTCCATTCTTAGGCTGTGCTGCTCGCTGACATCCCTTGTGCCCCATACAGTGGGCTGGCTGCCCAGCCCCCGCGTGTCCTAGAGAGGAAAGAACACCTGTGTAGGACCTGCTCCTACGGGTGGTATCACCCTGAAGTGGCCCAGGAAGGGAGGGCCTCGCTATACCATCCACAAGCAGCTTTTCAGGTTCCCCTGGGTCCCTTTCAGGTTACCCTGATGTAATGGGAAGAACCGAGATTTGAGGCGCAGTTAGGCCGGATTTGGTCTCGGGGACTGCCTCTTTGACCTTGGGCAAATAATTTAACCTCTGAGCTCTTCTGTAAAGAGAGTACCACCTACTCAGACACACGTAAGGACAAGCATGTCCTGCACAAGGGAAGAAACAGAGCAGAGGGCTGTGAAAGTGGCCACACAGAGGGTGCTCTGCGGACTTGAAGAACCGCTAGGACCAGATGCCCAAGACTGGCCCTGTGGACTGAGATACGTGGATGCCCTGGCTGGGAACACACTGGGCCTGCGTGTATAGTACTTCCTATTCCCCTTTGCTTACTCCAACACAGGCTCCAGGGCTTAATATAAAGGCAGTTGACAGGACTGCCAGCCAGGTCCCTTCCTTACCTAACCACAGCACAGGCCACAGCGTATTCAGCGGATGGCGCATCTGTGCCACTGGAGCCGTGCACACTTCCAGGGTGTGGGGACTGGAGCGGGCTCATCTCTGGGTCTTCAGCTGCATACACTGGCGCTGGTGTATGGAAGGGCCCAATGAAGGCGTGCAAATAAACAAATGGCAGACGCAATGAAGGGAGATCTGTTCAGGGTCAGACATCAAAAGGTTAAGACCCTGATGGTAATGGGGGTCCCAGCTCCCTCTGCTGGGCATCACATAGCTGGATAGAGAGCCCATGGTCTGGCTCAAGACTGGCTTGCATCTCACATCAATCAACCTTCCCACAACATTTACCTTAAATTGTACTTAGATGCAATTCTTTGTGTGACGACTATCCGAGTCATATCCCAGCCCCCAGGACCCACTAAGCTCCTTGAATAATGGCCTCGCCTCGCTCACTGCAACACCCCTTGTACCCCATACAGTGCCTGGCGCACAGTATTGGTCCAGTAAATATCTGAAGAATGATTGCATGAGTGTTCCTACCTGGTCCCTCAGCAACCCGCCCTTAATGAGCTTCTGGACTCTCACTGCCTCCAAGCCGCCCAGGCCCCAGCAAGCGCACCCTGGGAACGGGGCCAGGCCTGGGCTGAGCCTGCAGCAATACGCCCAGCATCCCCGCAGCCGAGCGCAGGGGACGTGTTCCTTGGCTCCTTTCATTGCATCCTCCTCCTGCCTTCCAGAGGGAGCCCTGGACGGCTCCCTTCTGGAGATTTAGATGGGGCTGGTAGATTCCCTGCAGTTATTCAATCCTGCTGTATGCCAACCACTTCTGTTTTTCTACATTATTTAAATTTCACACTAATTAAAAAATACCTGACATTTTTGGGCTCTTATGACCATCCAAGAACATGCTTTACATGTATTGGCCAATTGAACACTGGACAGAACAATGCCCTGAACTAGAAATGATGATTATACCACCTTTTCATAGACAAGGCCTTGAGACGGGCCAACCTGCCAAGGTGACGAAAAAAAGAGCGGGCTTCAAGCCTAGGGCTGCCTAGACTTACTACACCACCCCAGTGGCCCCAGATTGCCTAGGCTTAGACCTCAGGCGTCCTGAGGGGACAAAGGGGGGATCCCTCCTCTCCCAGCTTCAACACCCCGTCTCCCTGGCTCCCCCATTGAAACAGTAACTTGGGAGTTCCAATTTTTTGCCCCCAAAGTGTGCAATTATCAAGACTAAACAGACAGACGTCTCATCCCCCTCTCTCATCCTTATCGGGAGGAAAGCCAGACTCTTCCTTGGATGTCTTCCTTCTTCCTCCACCCTACACATAGCCCTAACCAACCCTCTTTGCAGCCTTGTTTCAGGGTCTGAACACATCCCACAGCGCCCTGGAGCAGACACAGGGCAGGTGACAGGGTTAGATGCTCAGGCAGGAATGCATGGGGGAGACGCCCTTCAGGGAGACACTTCTCTCCTTCTTTGTGTCCCTTCTCCGTTTCTTCAGCCATGGGAAGCTCTTAAGGTACCCGAGTGGAGAAGCGGGCCAGAGGCAGGGGTCCAAGGGCTGAGAAACTCCATTCAAGGAGGGGGTCTAGGGTAACCGGGTAGGAACAGCTGGGGCCAGTATCTGTCCTCTGGTTATTTCTGTTGCTAGTGGGTTGAGAAGGGTGGGCATGCAGGTCAGGTCATTCTGGAGACAGGTCTGGAAGTTGTGCTGTACAACAGGCACATCCCACAGAGCACCTGTACCCCTGGGGGGCCCAGCCAAGCCTCCCTGGACCCCTCCTCTGCTGGTGCTCAAGGACCCCATCCCACTCTCCCTGTGGACCCATAAGGGGAGGATGCCACACCTACCCCAGGGGCTCTGGCCACTATAGGTAGTGACCCCAGAAGCCTGCCTACCTTCCTCCCTGGAGCCTAGGACCTTGTACCATCCCCTTCTTTAGTACTGGGGTGACACTGGGCTGGAGGAGTACACTGGCAACTGGGATAGGATGGTTCTGGGTACCAGATCTAACCTGTAACCTTTTGAGGCCCACAAAGCCTCTCTGGTTTTGTCCACTTTGCCCAGAGAAGCAGCCTCTGTGTCCTTCCAGACCTGTACCCACAATGAACATCAGCCATGTGGAGCAGTGTCTGTCCTGCGTCTCCCTACTGCATCCTGACCCGCGCTCCTCTTAGGATAGAATGGAACCTTGGAAACCTGCCCCTGATCTCCACAAGGTTTGCTGTCCAAGGAATCCTTGACATACCCCAACCTTTCTGTGGCCTGCAGGAACTCCCACAAGGCGCCCCTTCACACACAGTCCCCCTGTGACTTTCCAGAGGCTGTTTTCCTCTTTGCCTTCTTATTATTTATTCCCTGAACCTTTTAAGTGTGCAGCGACACTGATGGGGGTTGGGAGCCAATTAGTTAACCTCTCTTTCCTCCTGTGTACAAACACTTCTTCGGGTCAGGGAGATAGCTCAGCGGACTTAGCATCTGCTTGGGCAAGCGTAGGGACCAGGGTTTGATCTGACTGGTGCCCTTGTTGTCTCCCACAGGGACAACAGGTGTAGGGGACTCTGTAAAGCCCCAGATCAGGTCTCCCAGTGGGTTGGCAGCCAGATCAGGAACCCCACTTTGGGAGCAGAAATGAGAAAAGGCGAGAGAATCATCTTATTGCCTTTATTCTGCTGTTGGCCCAGCTGTCCCCACTGCAGGGCACAGGGCCAAGCTTCTTTATCCACTCATCCACGCACTCTGCGCACACTCACACTCACACACGCATGCCACATACATCCCATCTCTGGCTCTGAGAGTCAGTCTCTGGGGGTTGGGGGGCCAAGGCCTGCTCTTCAGCCTGCCCACCTGCCCTTCTATGACAGCACCAAGGGCAGGGGTGGGGGCAGGGCCCTCAGCCCCTAGAACAAGTCCCTGTGCAAACCAGAGGTGCCAACTGGTGTAGGGATGGGGTGTCACATTTCCCCATTCCTGGAGTCCCCTCCTCCAGTTCCTGAGGGAGGGACTACTCTGCCTACCTGGGGGGCCAGACCCCTGCCAGGGCTGGGCCCTGTGGAACCCAGGCTTGCCCCTCCCCCCACTTGTCCCTGCTGGGACCCCAGCACTGCAAAGTAGCCAAATCTGAGGTTGTGGGGACCCTCCACTGGAGAGCAGGAAGGCCTGGGCCCTGGAGGCATCTGGGGAGAGGTCACTACCCCCTCTCCTAATCCATCTTCAATATGAAGAGGTTTGGGGCACACTTCCTGGGGAGGGAGCATAGGCCTGCAGAAGTCCCAGCTCGGGTCCTCCTCCAACGTCTATCTTCTGGGCCACAGCCCACAGCCAGGCAGTCAAAAGTCCAAGAGTCCAGCTGGCTGGTCAGAGTCCCTGTGAAGTCCTTGGGGGGTGCCCCCCAGTAGGAGCTGGGTGTCAGACCTGCACCGGCAATGTCTGGTTCATCTGCAGCCGCATGTCCTGGATACTGCTGAGGATCTTTTTCTGGTGGCCAGCCAGGGTGACCCCGATCCGCAGCAGGTCTCTGTAGAGGAAGCAAGGGCAGGGTCAGTTCCTTCCTTCTTGCCCACCCCCCTGGGCCCAGCGCAGAGCCCTCTGTCCTGCCCCTCCAAATCGGAGGCACTTACTCTGCAGTCATCTGGGCTACCAGGTCAAAGGAGGCAAACCCCGCACTGACGAAGTTCTCCTTGTACCGTCCCATTTTGATGGCATCTAGCCAGTCTCCTACTGTCGTGAAGGTTGTATAATCGGGGACTGTGCGGTCCAGGAGGGGCTGTGACATGCTGTGGGAGGAGAGAGTGACCTGGTGAGTCCTGTGTCCAGGGGGCTCGGGCCACCGCTGCTGGCTGGGTGGGAGTGCAGGTACTGACCCAGACTGCGCACTGGCGATGACCTTGAGGCTGGCAGCATTGCGGATGAGCTTGTCAAGGGTGTTGACAATCTGGGAAAACTTGGGCCTGAGGTTCCGATCCCTCACCCAGCAGTCCAGCATGAGCTGATGCAGGGCTGTGGGACAGTCCATGGGTGGTGGCAGCCGATAATCCTGCTCCACAGCATTGATGACCTGGGCCAAGGTCCAGGAAACCGGAGTGAGCCATTGCCATCTTCCCCGGCTGGCCCACCAGACCCGCCCCCCCCCCCCCCCCCCCCCCGGCTTGATCCTACTTACATCCTGGTTGCTCATGTCCCAGTAGGGTCGTTCTCCATAGCTCATGACTTCCCACATGACAATTCCGTAGCTCCAGACGTCACTGGCAGAGGTGAACTTCCGATAGGCTATGGCCTCTGGGGCAGTCCAGCGGATGGGGATCTTCCCGCCCTGGTAGGGGGGGCACACGCCCTTCACCCTGTGACTCAAGGCTGCTCCCCAGCCCTGAGCCCCTGTCAGGTTGACCCCACCCCTAGTTTCCCTCCCAGCTGGGTCTGGTACCAGGGAGCTGGTGTAGGTGGGGTCAGAGGGGTCATCCTCCAGGAAGCGAGACAGGCCAAAGTCAGAGACTTTGCAGACCAGGTTGCTGTTGACAAGGATGTTGCGGGCAGCCAGGTCTCGGTGCACGTAGTTCATCTCAGACAGATACTTCATGCCAGCAGCAATGCCTCGCAACATGCCCACCAGCTGGATGACTGTGAACTGCCCGTCGTTGAGCTGGTGACAACAAACAGGCTCAGGTGTGTGGCCACTGATTCCCTCCCTGCCTGCCCACTCCCGGTCCTCACAGACTGCGGTGTCCATGTCCCTATGATGTGGCAAGAATCTTATATACACCAGTTCTGCCAATCCCTATTACCACTTCACGGCTACGCCAGCAGAGTCAGGTTGAGCAATTTACCTGAGGTCACCTAGGTGGGAAGGATTGAGGCAGGGGGTGAACTGTGAGAGTTCTGACTCTGCAGACCCAGCTATTCTCTATGGATTTTAAATGGGGTCTCTCTCACTTGTGGGAGGTGATCGTGGGCCTGACCTAGCTCAAAGGGGTAGGGAGGGGGTGCTGGGGCAGGGAGGGGGTGCTGGGGCAGGCTCTTACCCGCAGGAAGGAGTCCAGGGCACAGTTTTCCATGAACTCAGTGAGGATCATAACCGGCCGGCTCTTGGTGACCACACCCTCCAGTCGGATGATGTTGGGGTGGTCAAACTGTCCCATGATGGAAGCCTCGCTCAGGAAGTCCCGCCGCTGCCGCTCTGTGTAGCCCGCTTTCAGAGTCTTGATGGCCACAAACACCTCCCGGCGGCCGGGCTGTTTGAGGCGACCCCGGCACACTTCCCCAAACTCCCCTGTAACGCAGGGTACAGCTCAGATGCTATTTCTTGGGCTGCTCCCCTTGACCCAGCCCACTTTAGCTTCCTGTCCCCCCAGTGCCCCTCACCGGGGACTCACCGGCTCCGATCACCTCCTCGATCTTGACGCAGGACACATCGATCTCCTTGGCAAACTCCCGCACAGCCTCGTTAGGGTCCTCGTAGGTGAAAGGGTCGATATAAACTTTCATTCCGGGAGCAACTGGAGGGAGAGGAGGTGACATGAGGGGAACGTGCTGGGCAGCCTCCGTATAGCACCAGGAACCTTGCTGTGCCCCCCCATCCCCCTCAGCAGGGAACATGCTCAGTGCAGTCCACAGTGCGCTCCACAGTCCACATCTCCACCAACCCACCCCAAGACTCGGCGGACTCCTCTCATCTCCCTTCTCCCTCATCTCTCATCAGGCCCAAACCTCTTTCACACTTAGCATTCCCCACATTCACACAGCCCTGACCTCGTCCAGGCCTTCAACACTCAGACTATTGCAATAGTCTCTCTCCTAGCTGCCTCTGGACTTTGCCCACCAAGCTACCCTGAAACAATACTGCTATTGTCTTCCTTCGCAGCTTCCCAATTGCCTGTGGCGGCACGGTCAAGTCCCAACTCTGCCTGCCTCCGAGACCCTCCAAGGGCTGCCTGTGCTCAGCGGCCTGGCTTCCCAGCAGCTGTCAGGCCGCCGTCAGGCCGTCTCCTCACTGCCCCCGCAGCTGGCCACCCTCCCCACACACCCACTTCAAGGCTTCTCTGGCCAGGAAGGCTGCCCCTGCCCCTTGAGCCCTGTCATCCTGCCACCTCCTCCCAGAAGCCTTCCTCTTTGAACTTCTCCTGCCCTGTGCCACAGGAACACCCAGCTTAACACTTAATTGCTATCTAATTGTTTCCTCTGGGTGTGCATCTTGCCTTCCCACAGGACTGGCTGCCTTTGGGGTAGGAGGAGAGAGGGGTGGGGTACCTGCAGTGAGGCAGGGGTCTGGCTGGAAGCAGGAAGGGCCAGCTAGGAATGTTTACAAGGACTGAAGTCACAGGCAGAGAATGGAGCCTGCAGAGGCTGGGGAGCCAGGGAGCTGGGCTGGGGACCGAGCACTCACTGTACTGCTGCAGCTTCTCCGTGTACTCTGCGTCCGAGCTGTGCCGCTGCTTCCTGGAGGAGGAGGGGGAGGTGGGCCTGAGACAAGCTCTGCAGCTTCCTCTGCAGTGGGCCCCTTGGGCTCACAGATAGGTAGACTGCAGAGGAGAGGGCCCAGGCCTGGTCCTAGGACTGCTGGTCACAGCCACCTCATGGGGGTTCATGGAAACAGGACAGGAGGAGGACACGGCACCAACTGCGGTGGCTTTCCCTCAAGGAGTTGGCCCGGGCAGGCTGCAGCCCCAGCGTAGAGGCAGGCCAGGGTGCTCTAAGGGGCTAACAGCAGCAGCTGTGGGCTTGGGAGTACCTGAGGCAAACGATGGCAATGACCACGACAGCCACCACAAAGATGAGCCCAGCTGTGGCAGAGCCCACGATGAGGGGCAGCTGCTCCTGGAGCTGTTGAGCACTGGAGCCTGGCGACCGAGAAGAGGCCCGGTGAGTGAAGGGACAGAGAGCACGGCCAGGGCTGGGACAGGTATGGGGCAGCGGGTGCATGTACCTCTCTCACTCGTGGTCTCAAACTCAGCTGGGTGGCTGTACTGGCCATAGCCGGCCACTGTGCGCGCTCGCACCTGGACCACATAGCGGGCATCGGGCCGCAGCCCATCCAGCTGCACAGAGTTCTTCTGGCTGGTCACGGTGGATGCAATGCCCTCATTCTGCAATGGCAGCAGGAGGGAGGGACACCAGGGTTCATCCTCAGGACAACTGGCCTTGTCCACCCCCAGGCCCAGGCCCTGCTTCCCTCATACTGGACAGAGCCTTTCTGATGCCCTGGGGCCACGCTACCAGCTGAGAGTCTCACCTTCTCGAAGTACTTCATCTCATAGTCCAGGATGACTCCATTGGGCCACTCTGGGGGTGCCCAGGACAGGGTCAAGCTGCTCCCTGAGCTGCTGTGCAGACGCAGCGTTGGCACTTCGGATGGCGCTGGGGGAGATGGGGTTGGGGATGACCATGGGCCCCTGGCCCCAGACCCTTCCCAAAGGCCTAGTCCTCATGAGACCCCAAACAGCCCTGAGCAGCCCCAGCTCCTCCTGCCCAAGCTGACCCGGGCCCTCACCAGCCTGGTTGGTGGTGATGTTCACTGCTGCATAGCGGGGTGGCAAGGGGCTCTTGCCTGAAACCCCATTGACGGCCTGCACCTCGAAAGTGTAGCGTGTGTGGGCCAGCAGGTGGCTGATGTGGACCCGGCGCTCCGTCAGGCCCAGCTGCCGAGGCACAAACTCCACGTTGTCATCGCAGCGTGAGCAGGTGGAGGGCCCCGCTGCCCCTGATCCCCCATGGCACTTCTTGCAGATGACATTATACAGGAGGTCATCACGGCCACCAAGGTCCCGAGGCTCACTCCACTCGAGGACCAGTGAGGTCTCATTCACATTGGAGATCACACCCCGAGGTGGAGATGGCACCGCTGTGGGGATACAGAGGGAGACAGGTGTGCTTTGGGCCTAGGGCCATCCTTCTACCCAGCGTGCCCCAACACCTGTTGCGCTGTCATTTTGTTACTCTTCACTGAGAAGACTCCTGTTCATCCTAAGGACTCAACATGAAATGCCACCGCCAACTGGAAGCCTTCCTGGATTCCTCCTCCCTCTATCGCCTGCACTCCCGCAACATGGTCCTCTGGCCCAGCACTTAGCGTACTGTATGATCGTTACCTGATTTCACACCTATTGCTCCCATGAGGTTGCGAGTTCCTTTACAACTGTAACTATCTTACTCTTTTCCATACGCCCTGCACTCATCACAATTCCTGGCTCACTAGAGGCCAGAGCAGAAGCAAGTGGGACAGCAGACTGCGTAGGTGGGTGGCACCCCCTCCATAGTTACAGAGCAGCAGCTCTGTTCAGAGGGTGGAGCCAGTGTCAGTGGGCCCCAACCCAGTGCCTAACGCCTGCCTAGCAGCTCGAAAGCTCTTGTTGTATAATGGTTGGAGGGATGAGGCAGCTGAAGAGACGCCCTACAGTGCCATCCTAAGCACATCATCAAACCTTCCTGAGCACCAGTATTCCCCTCTGCAAGCTGGGGCTATTGGCAGAGACAGCAGGGGCTGTGCATGACTCACTGGTACAGGCACTGTCCGCGGAGTCCGAGTCTGCGCGGTAGAAGTTATTGTGGCACATGCAGATGCTGGCAGCGGGGGAGGTGGTGCGGCTGTTGGGGGGGCAGGGGAGGCAGGGCCCCTCTCCCTGCTTTGCCTTGTAGCTCCCAGGTGGACAGGCTGCGGGGAGAAGAGGGTGGTTGCTGCTCAGCACTAAACCTCCAGGACTCCGTGAGAACCTGGCCCCGCCCCAGTCTAGGTCCGGGCCCTCCACCTCCTAGACTATGGGGGCAATGCCAGATTGCCCAACTCCACTGCAGCTACAAAAGGCCCTTTCCTTTTGCCCCATGGAAACCCCACGTCAGCGGATTCCTCCCGCCCCTGCCCCCCACCCAACCCCAGGGCCTCCCGGACGAAGACGAAGACGTCAGCCCCATCGCCTGGACAGCCTGGGCTTGTTGAGGCAGGGCCAACAGAGAGAAGGAAAAGGAAGAGGAGGGGAAAGGAGGGGAGCACCATGGGCTTCAGCACCCTGTATTTGGCTGATACGTGCTTCCCCACCACGGAAGCTCTGAGAAACTCAGGGAAACTCACTCCTGAGGTCCCTCAGGGCCACCAGAGCACTGCCAGCAGGAGGCAGGACGCCTCAGCAGAAAGCCACCTGGCTAGCATCTGTCCCACCCACTGGGAGCAGGAGCAGCAGTAGCTCCACTCGCCTGGGGCATGGTGGGGGCTGTGGAGGGGTGAGAAAGAGGGAAGACAGCAGGCAGCAAGGCGAGGGTCACCTGGAGTTCAGAGGCTCAAGGTCTCCATAGGGGGACCCATCTCAAAGCGAGCCACAGCCCAGGGCCCAAGCGTCCCTTCTGCCATCTATATTTGACCCCTGGATGTGAGCTCTTTAGACTTACTGAGGATGGCTGTAGGATTTATTACTCAAGTTGGAATATTCTAGAGTGAAAGGGGCACTAGGAATATTAGGACCTTAGGCCCAATCCAAGACTGTCCTGGACGCACTGAAGTATACCATCTACCCACAGGATGACCTCTGCAGGGGTCACCCAGAACATGCAATGCACAGGGTCAGGGTTGTGCCCTTCCCTGGGGTTTCATGTCCCCTGGCAAAGGTGATATTCTATCCCAGTTCTTTCAGCTGGTGGGGGAGGGGGCAGAGGCCAGGCCAGCCTGGTTGCTATGGGAACCCATGTGCATTTCCTGCCAGGGACCTGCTGAGTGTTAGCCCCTCTTCAGGCTGTCAGGCTCATCACCCCCACCCTTTTCTCCACTTGGGAAGGGGAAGTCTCTCAGGAAGGTTCCCATAGAGAATGGAGAAGGGCCAGGTAAAGCATCTCCAAGCTCAGGCTTCACAGCCAGGGAGTTAGTGTACGAGCCCCGGCCTTCACACCACCAAGGACTGTGGTAGAACCATCTCCCATCCTCTGAGCTACCCTGCATGCCCCAGGGAGAAGACAGGCAGCCTGTGTACCTTGTCCTAGGACTGGGCTTTTTCAGTGCCAGCTACCACATTTCCTAGGTGAGGGGGTCTTGGGTACAGAACCCAATTTTCTCACAGGCAAAATAGGAAGATGACAGGAATATACCTTACAAAGTTGTGGTGAGCTCCCCGGAGAGACCTAGCAGGCCCTGCCCCTGCCTCTGGATCCCCCTCCTGTACCCATACCCCAGCCTTCCTCTTACATGGTGCCACCTGAGCTTACTACCACCAGTCACTATCCTGAGACCACAGCCGGCCTACCTCGCTTGCCACAACCCTAAGATGGAATCTCTGAAACCAAGGCTTAGCGTGCCCACGTCACAAAGGTAGTAAATAAACGAGCATCAGGTCTCGGGACTTCAGGGACTGTGCCCTTACCTACTGTGCCAGAAACCTGCCTCTTAAGGAACAGATACACCCTGAGGCACAAGGCAATAAGCATAGGGTGCCCACAGCACCCGCCTTAGCACTGGTGCCCAGTGAAAACACCCATGGTGAGTGCACTCTGGGGCAGTGCCTGCCTTCTGTGTCTTTGCCCAGGTACTCCAGGGTTGAGGATCTCTAGGTCTCTCTTATTTTTTTTTAAATATTTATTTATTTTTATTTATTACATTTATTTATTGTGTGTGTGTGTGTGTGGCCAGCTCAGCCCACCAGGGGGCGGGGCTGGCTGGCATGTGGTGCTGGAGGATTGAACCGCGGTCTCTGTGCTTTGCCAAGCTTGTTTCAAGTAGGTGCTTTAGACCACTGAGCCATCTCTCCAGCCCGGTCTCTCTTATTTTTAAACCTCCCCCATCCTTTCTCCCTAGCACTGAGGACTGAACCCAGCGCTTTACCACTATGCTATTCATCATCTTCGTGGCCCTCCCAGCTCCCTCCTCACATCACATTCAGTGCACCCAATGCGGCTGTCTTCCTTCCATCTCTCCCTACACCCACACCTGAGGCTAGACCTCCTAGTCAGACAGGAAGCCCAGCTTGGAAGCAGTAGGTGGCCCTAGCTGGGCCCTCCCTTGCACCTCCCCCACACCGGCCCCCACTCACGGTGACACTGGGACTCCTCGACAGCTGGCTCATGGCCAGTGGCACAGGTGCAGGCGCCCACAGGCACCATCCACTCCCCATCGCCATTGCAGTACAGCTTGAGCGGCACCGACAGCTCCACAGCATTAGCAACGCAGGTGCCGGGGGCAATGACCAGCGAGGTGGTCTCGGCCCCAGTGAGGGTCTCAGGGAAGAGTGCGAAGCCTGCAGTGGTGGATGCACACTTCTTGTAGAAGGCACGCACCGAGATGAGAGACATGCAGGCGCCCTGGTCCTGGAAGGCCAAGTAGAAGCCGGCCTTGGACAGCGGCCCAAAGCTGCGCACCTTGGTGTTGACCCGACCAGCGGCATCCAGCCGGGAGAAGCTCTCATCGGGCGCGATGGTGTCCACTTTTATATACGGGTTCTCCATCCAGAATGGGGAGGAGGCTGAGGCCACGTCGCTGTCAGCCTCGTAGTAGAAGAGGTTGAAGGTCTCCTTGCAGGAGCCCGGGATGTTGGGAATGCTGTTGCAGTCACGCACTGTGAACTTGAGCTCCACGTAGACGCGCTGCACATCCCGCCGCCAGATGAACCCTGTGCGGAGCCAGTTGTTCTGGCTGGACTTGAGCACGTTACACACCTGATACGTGCGGATGGGGTTCATGGCCTCGTCATAGCCACTCACTTCCTCCCACTGCATGTAGACCAAAAGAAAGAGATGGAGTGAGCACCAGACTCTGCAAAGTGCTCGCCTCCTACTCACACCTGCTACCCGTATGCACTGCCAGAGATGCTTCTGCTGGAAGCAGCCACGCAAGTGGCCTCTGAGGGTTCAAATCCCACCTTTCTGCTTGTTATGTGTCTATGGGCAAACCACTTAAATGTCCTGTGCCTCAGTTTTCCCAGTTGAAACACAGGGATAATAAACATGTATAAGATATAAATGACTTCAAATGTATTGATGATACCGGCTGTCACCACTGCCATCACATTTCAATCTTTGCAGGAACTGCAAGAAGACAATGGAGCTGGAACTCCCTGAGAGGCACACCCATGTCACACTGGGCCTGTGGACTATAGGCAGGGCCAGGGCGGGACTTTGGATAGGCCAGCACTCAATCCCTAAGCTACCCCCCACCCATCCAGGGCTATGGGAACTTAACAATCAAGAAATGGAGGCCGGGGAGATGGCTCAGTAGGATAAGCGCTTGACGGGCAAACGCCAGGATCTGAGTTCAATCCCCGGTTCTACCAAAAAAAAAAAAAAAAAGGAAGCCCAGAGAAGTTAACTGCCTTGCTGAGGCCCATACAGCCACCCAAGGTTCTGCACTATCTCCAGGGACCCAAGAACATCACAAAAGGACTGCTGGGAAGGGGGTGGGGATGAAGATAAGCCGAGAAAGAGTGGGCCAAAGATGGCTCCTGTTGGGGACAGCAGAGACAACATGAGGGACACAAACTCCTACAGAGAAGGGCATCAGAGCAAGAAGGTGACAAGCAGAGGATAAGGATGTCACCCACAGGACGTGGGCCTGACGGGAGGGCTGAGGCAGCCCTTCTCCAGGCCCTGTGAGGGAGGTGGTGGGTAGCCAATAGCACAGACAATGGTGAGACTCACCCCACTCTCTGGATGAGATGTCCACGCCAACTCAGATGTCACCCATTTTGTATCCATGAGAGTCTCTGGGGGAACAAGAGAAGAAAACGGTCAGGGTTAATCCCAAGATGGCGGGAGAGAAGTCACTCAAGAAAGACAGGGCGAGGGGAGACCAGTTCCCCTCACATCCCCGGAAGTGCCTCCACTCCCTGACTCTGGAGATTTGCAGTCGTTTGCAGAGCTGTCAGAGTCCTGGAGATGCCAGGTCCTGCAGGCTGCGGCTGACCCGGGCCTGGGTTAATGAGGCCAAGCAGAGGCGGGTTCACACACCTACAGGCCCTGCTAATCTCCACACAAAGGGGCTGGCAGGGCCTTTATCCCAGAACAAAGGACTGTGTGCTTCAGACCCTGGGCCCTGGCCTCCCCTGACTTCATTCAGCCCCACACTGCCCAGGAGAAGGGGAGGGCAGTGACAGGCCGGAGCCAGCTCCCCAGCCTCCCACGCAGCCACCTGCAGGGGCCAGGCAGGAATTCTCTCAGAGATGGGGAAGGAACAACCAAGGCCCAAATGAGCCCCTAGTCTGTGGAAGAAGGTACTGCTGGTGTGCCCCTTTACCCAGAATGCATGCTTAGATAAAGTAAATGTAAAGCTTATGGCGAACCTGCTAGGACTTGAAGGGAGGGGTTAGAAGATAGCTCAAATTCAGGTCTGGCTGACTCTGTCACTGACTCCTAACCCCTTGGGCCCTGACTACAATACACCCCTCTGTAAAGGAGACAAGAGAAACTGGAAAACTGTTTCCTTGGCCTGGAAGCCTTTCTTGGACCTTCACGCAGGGCCGGAGGCTTTCCTCTGTGCATCATGGCCAGCAGCCTGAGCACATACCTAGCCTGTGTTCTGAGCTGCAGTTTCTCGCTCAGTCATAGTGGGGTCGTATCAGTGCTGGACACTGACTCACTCCTGTAGGAACCTGATTCTGCTCCATGGGTGGAAAACGACTCGGAAAGGCTGCATGACCCTAAGGTCAGACTTAGGAGACAGGGAGGGATGAGGTGCCAAATCCTCTCCTACACTCAGGGACATGCATGAGGCAGCCCACAGTTCTCTCCTCAACTCCAGAATGGATGGAGCTCAGGCTACCCCAGAACTTCGGGAAGGGTTCCAGGAAGGGCCTTGCAGGACCCAGAGGATGCATAGGGCAGCTGCAGCCTTGGCTCCCACGTGAAGCACAGGGGTGGCTGCAGGCAGCAGCCATTCAGTGTACAGAAAGCAGCTCCCTCCTGCCTGCTGTAGCAGCAGCTGGTCCCTGGAGGACCTGGCTGCAGGGTGTGCTTCCCCATCTTAATGGGCCCCTCAGACAGACAGACACAGACATTAGGCAGAGGCTCATTGATGGACGCGGAGATGAGCAGAAGCAGGGTCCCAGAGACAGGCAGGTGGAGCAGGGGCCTGGCCAAGGCAGCAGGGTGGGCAGCCAGGCGGGAGGGATGTGCGCAGTGCTGGCGGGGACTAGACAGCCCGGATGGCCAGCGGTGGACTACAAAGACGGTGCGATGGAGAGAGAGACAAGGAGGCCCAAGGAGACAGAGACTGGAAGGGAGGCTGCCAAGTGGCCTCTTCCCCAGCGGCGGCTGGAAGAGTCCTGTCCGGCTGGAAGAGTCCTGTCCGGGAGCAGTCCCGGAACGGCGGGCAAGCTCACCCCTCCCCCAGCCGGCCAGCCAGTCCACCCCACTGCCCACCGCCCTGCCGCCAACCCGGCAAGGGCTCCCACAGCTTCTTGCCTTCTCCCTCCTCCCTCTCCCTGACTTCCTTCTGCTCAGCCCGTGCCAAACCCATCTGGAACTGTTTAAACCCAAATATTCAGCTCCCTCCCCCTCCGGCCAGATTCCTCCACAGTTTAAAACAAGCCCTTCGCTGGCTGGGGAGGAGGGAGGGCCGGGAGGCGGGCACAGGGCGGGAGCGAGGGGGCCAGCCTTGGCCATCGCGAGGCCTTGGCCATCGCTCAATCTCGGCACATTTTTCCCATTAATGAGGAGAGGACTTGGATTTCTTGAGTCCTATGTGCTTGAGTAAGGGCTCCGGTCACCCGTGGGGGTGGGGGTGGGGGTGGAAGAGGGCTGCTCTGGTTCCCCACATCCCCGAGGAGGGCGGGGCCTGGGCAGGAGGCAAGAACCTCTGCAGACCCTGGGGTGCTGTGCCCAACCTCAGAAGGACAGCAGTGGGGCATCACAGAACCCATCTGGCGGTGGCGCTGGGAGGGAGAAACCTTCTCCAGGCCACGTGTGTGGTGTGTGCATGTGCGTGAGTTTGTCCACACAGTGGGGCAGAACGGGGGCTAAAGACAAAAGAAGACTAAGTGAGCAATCTCCAAACTCCTCTGGCTGCTGACTGCACCCCACTCTGCCCTGTCCCCCTCCCAGCAGCTGCAGAGGAGAGAAAGGAGGCCACCTTGAGACATGGGGCACACAGCTGCCCCTCTAAGGCCCCAGGAACTTTGAAGCACAGGAGCAGACCTTTCCTGTTGCCACAGGGCTGGCAGCAACGATGTGGCCCTCACCTATGCACAAACACACAGTTGCACATTCAGCACCCAACTCTCGGGCTGGGCTTGCTCCCCACTGAGAAACTAAAGAGCGAGAAGTCAACACATATGGTGGACAAAAACACACAACGCGAGAGCCACCCGCAAACACACACAGAGCTTCACACACAGCCAGTCTGTCTTTTTCAGATACACAGATGCACACGGTACAAACAGATTACTCTTCCTTAGACGCTCATATGCAATGACTCTTTCTCACACTCAGATTTGGCTTCTCTGGGGCAGTCCCATTCTCACAGCCTTCCTTGGGCACATGCAGGCAGCCCGACTGAACGTCCTCCTTACATGCACAATTGCACCCACTATCACCAGCCACAAGGCACACAGCCCCAAGTATAAAGTGTGAACACAAAATCCAGCTCCACTGTACAGACTTGGTGACATGCTCTTACACAGTAGAGGAAAACTACAATCAGATGCCCCGTGGCACTGGAACATGCCACAGTCCCGGAAGAAGCAAGGAGACATGGGATAAATATCAGTGCCTAGAGTCTGTGTAAAGCCCCAGCGGAGCCTCCTCCGTGTAACACACACACACACACACACACACACACACACACACACACCCCACACACATACATAGTATGAACAGGTTCTTTCTCTGGGATCCTGTGGTAGGTGGAAGAAGAGTTGGGAGAGGGCAGTATACCTCATCCTCCTCCAGCTCTGTGGTACCTCTTGCTGTGGCAGGGCAGCCACATAGACCGCTTGTGCACAGCGGAGGTACAGGGGCAGCCTTGGTGACCGCCCTCATTGGGAAGGATTGAGCTACCTTCACCTTCCTGTTGTCCTGGCTCAGGTAGGAGCTGTCAGTCAGGTCCGGAGGGTGGGGGTGGGGGTGGGGCAGGGGCCTGAGGATGATTCTGGGAGTGGCTGGCTGCAGCCTTCCCAGGTGTAACCTCTGCCCAAACAGCAAGCCACTTCCCTGCCAGCGCAATGGCGTTGTCTCAAGGGCTCCCAAGACCCTAGGGAGGGGGCAACACTGTACCCTCAACTTGAGGTCCTCGCATGAGGACACCAGACACCCAAGCCTGCCACAGATGACCTCACTGGGACACCTTGGTACAAGGACACCAGCTGAGAGCCTGCCACCTCCCTGATGAAGAGCTGGGTCCATACAGCTTTCTGCCTGGCACCATTGCACATCCAGGTCCCAAGTCTCTCAGCCCACCCCTACAGCATCAGTTCCAGGAAGACCCAGGAAACAAACAAACAAGGGAAAACTGGAGCCAGGCAAGAAGGCTCCACCCTAGGTCAGGGACTTTGGGGTGGCAGGAAGGTCATGTTCTATGGCGGGCCCAGCAGAGTTGCAGCAGCGGGGCAGAGCCTGGGCAGGAAGGAGAAATTTGGAGCCCTGTCTGTAAAGAGGGAAAACTCTGTGCCACCCAAGCTGCCCCAACATGGAATCCCTCTCTCAACCACCGAGCCTGAGGTTCTGGTCCCAGGTTTTCCACCACCCTGCCACTGCTCCCCACGTGATGGCACTGGTACAGGTACAGGCCAAGGTGCACACTCGGGGCAGACAGCCAGGAGAAAGGGGCCACCCTGCTGGAGGACCAGGAGCCTAGCTCACCCAGGGCCTCCTCCCTCCCAGCCACACCCGTAGGTCCTCACGTCTGGGGCAGCGCGGAGGGGAGCATCTCAGAACAGAGAACACATTTTGTTTTTCATTCTTCCCCTCAGATGGTGGGGCTTTATAATGAACTGATCCTGAGAGGGAGCAGAGTGGGAAAGAAGCACAGGGCAGGGAGCCCAAATGCCTCAGTGCTCATCCACGCCCCCACCCCAGGACTGGCCCTGCCAGCAGCCAGAGACTGGGGTGATGGGTGTCTGGTCCTGGCTTGAGGCCTAGCCCTCTCCCTAGCATGCTGGCCACAGCGGGCCCACAGCAGAAGGTCCCAGCAGCAGAGGGCCGCGGAGGGCTGCCCCAGGTTAGCTCCAGGGTGGGGGGCCTTTACCACCCCATCAGGTGCCCAGCTGTGTACGCTATCCCCCCCCTCCCCCGGCTGCCCAATCCCGACAAACCAGTTTGACTCAGCACACCAGGCAGGGCTACAATTTTCAAACTATGCAGGCCTGGTGATTCAGCCTCTTCGAGCTGTTTAATTAGTGGAAGGCTGGTGGCGGAGGCCTTGCCCACGGCAGCCTCAGCTTTAGCTCACAGCCAATGCAGGCACAGTGGCTCTGGCCAAAGGGAGGGCAGTGACAAGCAAACTCTCCCAGCCACTACCTGGTGTTGTCCCTCAGCACAGCCCTGATGCACCAGTTCTTGACAGACAGGAATGGGGGATCAGGAGTAACAAGCCACAAGTAAACAAGCCACAGAAATCCTGGGCCGCTGTCTCCTCTCAGCTCCTGTGTCCCCAGTGGTCACTCTGCTGCCTCTGAAGGCACATTGCCTTCTCCTTCAGGGCCAGGTGCCACAGCTGCAGCGACTCAGCCATTGCAGCTTGGCTAGAGAGGGGTGCTGGGCCCCCGCCTCTCACAATGGGCAACTGTTGGCTCTCTTCACAGAACAGTGGCTTCCTGGCTGGGACTTAACCATCCTCTCTCAGGTACAAGGGCCCTGTGGCTCAGATCCCAACCCTCATCCCAGGTGTCATCCTAGTCCTTCGCTCCCTACCATTGCCCCCTTGTTCACCCATCCATGATCCTGAAGAAGATGATCTTGGCTTGGGTAGACCCAGAGACATAACACAAAAGGACAACAGGTGACAGGTAGCCTCATTTCCCTGTCTCTGTGAGTAAATCTCAGGGCAATTGATGTGGGGGTGGTGTGACTTTCCAGTTCAGGAAGGCAAGCAAAGACCCAGGCTCCATCCACATGGAAAACTGAGGAGACCTTTTGGGTGCAGAATCTTGGTGAACCCAAGGTGGCAGACAGCAGCTAACTTGTGAGTCCATGAAGGGCATCACCCACAGCTCAGAGAGCCTGGGAATAAATATAATGAGTCCAACCAAAAGGTCAAGGGCAAACAAGCCTGACAAAGCCAAACGCGAGGCTGCATGGAGAAAACTGGGCGCCCCACCTATAAAGTGTTTAGGGGGTGGAGCTGAGAGAGCCAGAGCGCCCAGAAGCTCACCCACCCCACACTTGAAGCCGCAGAAGAGGATGGGGGCACGGGCAGGAGCCTGCTGAGCCAGCTCTCTTTCCATCTCTTCCCCTCTTGGAGGGGTAGGAAGCTTTGCCTCCTATTCCTCCAGATTCAACTTCCTTCTCTCATTCCTTCCTCTACCATTCCGAAGGGGTAGGGCACATCAGTTTCACTTCCCCCACCCCCCCAAGGGCAACAGCAGTCATAATACTAACAGCAACAGCTAATCCTTGGATAACGACCACCATGTGCCAAGCACTTTACACATACTGTAGTAGGATTCAGTCCTCAGGGCACACTAGGGAGGTTGGCACCATTACCATCCCACAGTGGGAGGAACCGCAGGGCGGGTGGGTATGCGGCTGATTGGCTAACGCTCTTCTGTTCTCCCACACCAGCCAAGGACCACGGGGTCTGAGGTGTGCAAACACGAAGGCCCTGGGGAAGCCACACTCACAGGCACTGCTGCTTCCTAGGGCCGCAATCTTGGCCCGCAGCCTGGGCCTGACCACAGTACCCAGGTCACAGCTGAGGGCAGAGGGGGCAGGGAACACATGGTGGCTGAGCTGCTGCAGATGATCAGGACTTTTTGTCTTTTGGTCACCACCAGCTCCTGGCTAGGCCCTGCCCTCAGGGGGTCTGGGGGATTTGAAGAGACCAAAACCAGGAAGGAAGGAAAGTCTGGAAGGTGGCCCTCTGTCACCTGACGCAGACCACACCCCCTCCACACCAGCACCCATCACACCCCATACCACAGGACACAGGCCCGATACACAGGTGACACGGAGTGCCATTCGTGCATGTGTGTGTGTGAGTGTGAGTGTGCCTGAGCGCACACGTGCCAGTGTCGCCTCTCCTGGGCTAAGACAGACGCAGACCTGGGAACAGGCTTCCTGGCTCACACCCTCCAGGCGATCAACAACAAAGCCCCACACTGGTTTCTCACGCCAGAGATCCTATCACACACATGTGGGTGAGTGTGCTCGAGTGTGGGCGCGACCTCGGCAGCACTGTCTGAATTCGATCGCGTCTGTCCACCCGTGTGAACCGATCTGTCAGCACGGTGGGCTCAGAGACAAAGGGGTGGGAGATTACAGAACCCCTCCCCTCCAAGAAAGGCGGCGCTTTCTCTCTGAACTGCCTTAAAGATTTTTTCTTTCAACCTTCAAGTTTACCCACTGTGAACATAGGGACGAGCCAAGTTACACAGGATTCACGGTTTTGTTCCTAAACTAAGAAAGTGACTACATCGGTTAAAGATGCCAAACCTAAGTACTACTGCCCATATTCCAGTTTCCCCAAATCTCTGCGGTGTCCTTCCCTCTACATTAAGGAGGGCTTTGCCCCACTCATTTAATGACTACATTCGTTGGGAAAGGGTGTGTGGGTGTGTGTGTGTGTGTGTGTCTGTCTGTCTGTCTGCGCGTGCCTCCCTATTGTTTGTGACCTGTATTGGTGCCTCTGTCCTCACCAGGCTGGTGTCAAGTGGCAGGCATGTGACCTCTCCTGTCAGGGCCAACCACCCAAGTACAACCATTTGGAAGTTGGAGCTGACCCCTCCGCAACAACCCTGGCAGGCTTTACACAGCCCGGGGAGAAGCCGGGCCATTTTTCCACCAGCCAGAGTAGGCATGGGCTCCTGCGCTACCTGGGCAAAGCGCCCTGCTTCAGAGGTTCGAAAGAATGCCTGCTGGAAGGAGGGCCTCAGAAAAGGATGCTAGGAAGCGCACACGGCGCCTCGTGCGTAGCTGGCGCTCGGCAAACCAAAAACAATAACAGACCCCCGCCTCCCAACCCCCCGCAGCCGCCCCCTGACAAAGCGGGGTGCCACCACTGACTCTCACAGTTAACTCCAACGGGTTCCAAACCAGCGCCTCCCCAACCCTCAATCTGAAGGGCTCGCTCCAGTCCAGCCTAGCTCCCCAAACGCCTCAGCCTGTAGCTCCTCGTCTTTTCTGAAGGGTCACCCACACTTCCTCGCCTCCGGGCCGTGCGTAGGGCCCTGCTTCTCTGCCTGGAGTGTGGGGGTGCTCCCACGAACGATCTCGGAGCAGCTGTGCCTTTCGGGGTGGACGTTCCTTCCGAGTCGGGCTGCCGCGGTCCACTAAGCCGCGGAGTCTCCCGGGCCTCCAAGACGCCTGCCCCGGCGCCCCCACCCCCCATCGTCCGTCCTGGGAGGGAGCGGACGCTGAACCTCCCCGACGTGCGCCCCGCGAGCGTGGATCCCTCTCCGGCCCCCGCGCTCCCCGCCCGCGCCCCGAGCCCCGGACGACCTCACCTTCCAGCGCCCGGCAGCCAGCGGGCAGCAGCAGGGTCAGCAGCAGCAGCGCAAGCACCAGCGGCGCGAGCCCCGGGGGCAGCGGCAGCGGCGGCGGTGGGGGCCGAGTGCCCAAG